CTTTATAGATTTTCTATTTTAATATAATATATATTATTTTTATAGTATTTAATTAAGAATTTAACTATATAATAACTATTATAAGTATTAATAATATAAAGGTATTATTTATTAATAAATAATATTATTTACAGAATAAAGATAATTTTTAACTAAAACACTATTACTATTTAGAGTTAATAATTCTTTATTTAAATATTATAACTTTATTATTATATAATAATTTATATAGAGATAATAAAAACTTATTCTTTAGACCTTTATATATATACTTTTTATGTTTCCATGTTTTTACACGCCTTTTCAGCGTTACGGATAAGCGGCAGCTTGCCGATTGGCTAGCTGACAGCTTTATAGCTAGCTAACAACGAATTATGAATAGAGGTGATGGATATGATTGGTTCTAGTGGCACAGGATAAGCACGTGCAGATGATTATCGTCCGATCGGGGCGATATTTTAGCTAAGCGCGAATTAGAAGATAAGACAGCTATCTAATAAGAGCTTCCTATATAAATCACTAAAAATTAGTCACAGTAACTTAGCACTAATACTAGTTCTTAGGAATTTCTCTAAAGTTAACTAATTAAACGCTAGAAAGTGTCTATAATTGATTCATAGGCGCCTATAGCTTACTCTAGTGAATGAATCTATAGTGGGGAATAGGCTAGCCTATTATAGTCTCTAGGTGGGAATTAGTGTAGTTAGTAGGTGTAGTGGAGTATAGGGTCACTTTCACTAGTTAGTAGGTGCAGTAAAAGTGTAGGGGGTCACTTTCACTAGTTAGTAGGTGCAGTAGAGTATAGGGGGTCATTTTCACTAGTCGGTAGGTACAGTAGAGACTCTAAGGGGGACGGGGGTTAGTTGGCCTATGATAAGTTCTAGAGGGCGTATGTGCCTTTATACGACAGCGTATAGAAATACGCCCACCCCCCTTCTGCTGGTCGAACACCCGCTCCCCCTCACAGGCACATCGTTGTGCCCGTCTCAACGTTGTGCCTAGCCCAGCGTTGTGCCCGTGAAGGGGAGCGGGTGTTTGACCAGCCTGGAAAGGGAGTGGGTGTATTTCTATACGCTGTCGTATGAAGGCACCTGCTATTTTTGTACGCCCTCTTATTACTCTATACGAAGGCTTATTATACGCTTCCTACCTTCGTACGTCCTTATATGAAGGTATAGGTGCACCTCCTACTAGAGTGCACCTTCTTAAGGGTAGAGTGCACCTCCTTAAGGGTAGAGTACACCTCCTTCTTAAGAGTAGGTTATACCTCTTAAAAGGTAGTATTATAAACACTATAATTATTAGGTGTGACAAACGAATAGGAAGACGGAAGGAGCGGCCCGTT